CAGGGTGGGATTTTCCCACCGCCTCATAATATGGCGACTTGATCGCCAGGATGGCGAAAGCGAGAGCTTATTTGCAAGTGTATAAAGGCAGTCTTGAAGCAAAAGCTGCGAGTACGTTTAACGGCCCTTTAAAAACACACTGCGATCGAGATCCGCGGTCGACCATCCACCTTCCTCGAACCTAAGCGGTTACTGAAACACCTGAGCCAGAAGAACATGACAATTCACAACGACAACGTCCCACTGCTCTTCGGCATCAGATTCGTGTTAAAAAATACAACATGTGGCGACCGAGTAGATCAATTCTGGTGGTAACCTGCGTATGAAAGCATGAAACCGGCTACCACCACACCTTTTAATCATAATGATTTATGCAACACGCATTGGCATTTTGATCAAAGAAATGCTGACTACAGACATCTGAGCAGCCGATTGCAACTTGTACATAATACGCGGCTACTCGACATCCGCTAAGAATTCCCTAATCATTTTCGATGATTTTTTTCCCGAAAGGGTTGCTTTAAATGCGCGCATAAATTTACCAGGTCAGAGGACGCCTATTACCGGTTAAGTGGACTATTTTGCGGTATCAAAGTCATAATCTAGTATTCACAATTAAACCCCTTATTTGCCACACATGCATGATTAAAAACGCAAATCCAGGCTCGATCTCGATAATTTTATTTTTCGTGTAAAGGCTAGAAAACCAAGGCTGGAATCACGATGGATAAATAAGGAATGAAAACATGTTCAGGGAAGATCCCCAACTATTTTAGTTATCAAGCTTTCAATAGCTGCTAATCTTTCCTTGCCGGTGGCAAGTACCTCCTCGTGGCTGGCCTCTTCAGTAGAAAGTTCGTCCATGACGACTTTGTTGGTAACGAGTGAAATTGCAAGGACATTCATGCCGGAATGCGCAGCCGTAACGACCTCATTTGCGGTACTCATGCCTAAAGTGTTGGTTGCAACACAACACGAAAACATACACGTGAGCACGGGTGGAGGTGTAATTTGCGTGTAATATGAAAAATTTTAAACTATTTAATAAGTGATAAGTAAACTGAAAAGTTGATTGACAACTCAGAGGTGTATAATTTTTTGGAAGGACCAAACGACGATTAAGGAGTTAGGCACCAGCGGAAGAAGTACTGAAATATAAACTACGAAACAATTGGCCTAACAGTTCTAGTTACAATCGTACATAGTTGCGTCGATGGAACCAACTACAATTCAATTTAAAAAGAATAGAATCTTAGAGTTTTTAAACCACTCACCAACAACGTCGGCGCCGAATGAGCGGTATAACCTTGCTTCTGAAATGGTTTCGAAGCAAGGTCCCGCGACTTGTACATATACACCTTCCTTCAATTCTACAGGAGGATTTAGGTTAGCAGCCGCAGACTTGGCGATGTTGCGCAGTTTCCTTGAGTAGGCCTTTGATAGGGGTATAAACCGAGGACCAAATCTAAGAATGCTTAGAAAATACAACAGTAAACCTCTCATCATTTGGTCCTATTAGCGGGTTCGTTCCAATTGCGCCCATTAGATTTATGTGGTCCTTCAGAAGTACAAGGTCACCCACGCGGTAATCAGGGTTCAGACTGCCGGCAGCACTTGTAATAATAATGGTGTGGACACCCAACATTTTGAGCACACGAATAGGAAGGGCCATCTGCTTAATTACAATAGTGATAGTTGAGCATACCTGACACATAGAAAATCCCTCGTAGATATGTGGCCTTCCTTGCATAACAACGACCTTCCTGCCACGACATTCCCCAAAAATCAGATTGCCAGCGTGTCCACCGACTGTCGGAATCATTTAAGGGTAAAAACGAACCAGATGGAACGGGAAATCCTTCAATATCTTTGTAGCTTACGGAAGCGGTAGGTATAATAATTTCCGATACTCTTCCTAGTCCCGAGCCACAAATAATGCATATTTCTGGCTTGATTAAACT